ATAAGTGCACTCAGTGAAGCAGTGTTTTTAAATATAAAAGGTCACATCTGAAAACTGACTAATTGAACAAGAACTCACACCTAAAACAAAAGCAAAAAATAAAAAAAGTCAGATGTCTGGAAAGTGTTCTGGGAAGGGGTGATGATGGCATCAGTTCCCAGCACTGCTGCAGAACAGGAAAGGCCCTCAGCATCAGACGGTGCAGGCCGAGGACCAGACATTGACAAATCAAAGCCAAAAGGCATGATCTGTAGATAGAAAGATACACAGCCTCGGGGCCGGGTCAGAGGCGGTCTCAGACCCGACGACAGCCCCCTCAAGGAAACTCCGTGTGGTTCCTCCTCGCACTGGCTGACTTGAAGAGTTTCCTGCCATCTCACTTATCAACCCAGAGTAGCACCGAGTCTCCTCTTAATAATCTCCAGGTAATCTGAGGAGTTGTGCATACGGTGTCATAACTAATGACCTGACAAAATGGAGACATCTGGCTCAGAGACCCCGACAACCAAGACCAAAACCTTCTGGCTGAGACAGGATGATGCCTAGCTTAGAAAAACCATCATGTTTTAAATCTCCTGGGGTGCCCAGTAGAGGAACCCATTATGTCCCCACACACGGTGCCTGGGTGCATACTGGCGTTAGGTAAGTCGCTGCTGAATTATGAAAGAACTTGGTGAGGGCTTAGCTGTCATCTTCTGACATCCCGTGCTGCGCTGACCCTGGTGCGGATGTCTCTGAAGTCTCCGTGCACAGCTCAGCAGCCTGCAAGCTCCCTTGGGTGACAAGAATCTGATGTCTCCCTTTGAGTCACAGACAGACTGGACATTGGCTGCGCCATCAGAACTGACTCCAAGGAATCAGTCTGCAAGGAGATGTGGGACATCTGGTCTACTCAGCTCCCTGGGAGACTATTCACTAGTTGATATTTTATTTGCCATCTATGCATTCCATAAATTATGAAGTCCCTCTATCCAAAACCCTCTAAGTGGCTTTTGGGGAAGGGAGGGCCATTAACTATAGATGCCTCCCAGCAGAGGGGGTAAGCGGTACAGAGGGAGAGATATGGGCATCGCCCATGTAGTCATCACAAGACAAAGAGGGCCTTGAAGAAAAGTGTGGGTGGCTGATGAAACTGTCAGTAACTGTATAGCCTCAACACCAGTAGCTGCCGTCCTCTGTGCTCAGTTGTACGATGGCCTTGCTAGGGTGTGACCTTCTGTGGATTTCCTGTATACCATCCCCTATTAGCCCTCCAGAGACAGGGATTGTCTTCACTATCCACTTAAGGCAACTGTAACTATAGAGATTAAGTCAGTTACCTTGGAGAAAGTGGGGGCCAGTCCCATTGGTCCATAATCCATGTGTTCATAGGACTGGAACAATCCCATTGATGGTGTAGACATTAGCCTAGTGACTCACTTAAGTGACTCATTCTCATCAATGTCAACATCTCATGGAGAGCTGGTGGGCTCAGATTAGGACTTTCAACGTGTTCCTGTGATCTCCCCACAGCAGAGACCCCTCAGCCTCAAGAGGAGCAATCAGATGTCAGTGTCCTCTTTAGCTATTTGAGAAAGAAGAAACTAGAGACTGCCCCAAACCAGGTGCTTTAGTTGCTGAGAGGGACTTCAGAAAATATCAGAAGGTGGAGAAAAACCAGATCAATAAAAGGAGAGATGAAGGGAAGGTGCCCTTGGCAAATCCCCTTGTAAGGGAACTGATGCTGGGTCCTTCCAAGGATGACCCAGGGCTTGGGGAAAAGTATGGAGGCTACCCAGGAATGTGAGGTAAGGGCAACATTTTGGGTTGGCATTTTAGAAACAAAATAGATCCACATGGGAATTTGTCATGAAAAACAGAGATTTAGGTTGGCAGTTAGATGTCTCCAATTGGCGCCAATGAGAAAAATAAATTTTTCCTTAATAAATGCAGTTTGCTAAGTGACAACTTAGAAAAGATGAGGATTGCTGGGTGTGGGGGGACTGCAGAGAGATCTTCAGAGGGCGATTTAGGAAGTGATTGGACTGCTATTTCTTCTCTTTTGAGAAGCTTTCTGTGAACACCCCACCTGGGCTCAGGGCTCTTCCTTGGCACTGACTCAACACCCTACCTATTACTATCACATTGATTCACATTGCTAGCTATGGGGAGCCCCTCTCCCCAACTGGGAGAAACCCCTCCCACGGGTGCCACTTGCTTGTGTCCTGCATGCATGTCAGCGTTGGACCATGGCAGGGGCTGAGTCAAGGGTGGAAGCTCAACCCTCTGGAGCAAAGACATTCATCAAATCTAGAAATGACTTTGGAGACAAGCAACCGCAGTCCTGGGCCAGCTGAATCCTGAGAATGCTCCCTCCTGGAAATGGTTAGGTTCCCAACTTCTTTGCTCCTTGCTTCACTCAACACAAGCTCAGGGTCTTTTTGGCTCCAACCAATCTCCACTCATACCTGTTCCAGGAGGAACTGGCACCCTGTTGCCTCCTGCAGCCCCGGCCCAGTGGTGGAGCAAATGGAAATGTTCGTTTGAGAGGCTGGCTTCATGTGCTTTCATTGGTGGCAGTGTACACCAGGCAGTTCCTAACCCAGTAGAGCCCCCAGCCTCTCGCTGAACCCCCTTGTTTTCAACCAGCCCCTTGCTCACCTAGAACTGACAGACATGGACACGTGCCCCTGGCCCTTCTGTTCTTCCTGATCCTCCCTTTTGAGAGCTTGGTCTTACTACAGTCAAGGGTCTGCTTAACGAAAGGACAATTTTATCTTGGTGGGAGCTCACAGAGCATAGTCCCGCAAGTCCAGAGGGTAGGATCCAGCACACGCTAAGGCTTAGAGTACAATGGATGGGAACCTCTGTTGTCTGTGTGGCCCATTGTTGATGAAAGACCAGGTGGCTCATGACTGTACTAAGATTTCAGAGCTCCAGTCATAACATTGTCCGCAAAGAGGCACCATTGACCATTTTAACCAAAATGATTAGGAGCATCGCTGAAAATATTAAAATTAAATCCCCTTCGAAGTAGTCACAAACACATTGCTTCGCCGTTTGGAAATGCTGGAGCCTCTCCCCTGGCAAGCGTGGCATTAATTAGTTGTGCGTGGTTGTTTCCGGTAAAGAGCAAGTTCATTATAAGTTGGCAAATTTCAATTTTACAGTAGGTGTGTTATTCTGAGACTTATAAATTGTTCATGTGAGAATAAGCCACATAATTTTATTTTATTGTTCTGTTCAGGGTAGCAGTGAGATACTGCAGGTATAGATACCAAAAAGCTACAAGTACTATCTACTAAGATAAGATAATGATGTTCAGACAAACTCAATTTTGCATTTGTGGCTTATGAGTTTTGCTTTAGGAATTACATGCGCCTACAGGGTAACCTGGTTTTTTTTTAACCCCTTCATAACTCTTTGTGTGGCCTTGGGAATAAAAGATCTTCACTTCGGCATTTCTGGAATGATAAAAAGGGCTCAACACGGGGCCGGACAGTGCTAGAGATAATGATTAAATATACCAAGCGATGATTCTTTATGTCACAAGGTCACACACATAGGGCTGAGGATAGGCAGATGCATTTTTTGGAGGGTGGGGAGAATTTGGGGCAAATTCATCCTTGGTTTGTTAATATTTATCATCTTTAAGTTTAAAAATAACTAAACCTTTTTCTTGCTCTTGTCCACTAAAAAGCTCAGCACTGACCTCAACCCGAAACAAGAAATGATGAGTCTTATTTCTTGATTTCCCCTTCCTGATCATTCCCCCTAGTTTCGTTTCTTTCATCCTTTATTTTACCTCATTGCATTTGCTTTCATAGACTTGGAATGTGCTACCCTGGTAGGGGTGAGATGAGTAGGAAGTGACAAGTGTTTTTCTTTATAATCAGTATTGTGGTGATCTAGGCTAATTCAGTTTTGCTAAAAGAGATTTATAAGCCACAGAGCTATGAAAAATGCACTCAGCCCTTCCCAGTGGTCCCCAATGAAGTCACATTCTCTCGACAGACTCTACAGCCAGACACTGGCCAGGGCAGCCAAGCCACACTGGCCAGGGCACAGCTGACTCCTCAGAGCAGCGCCGTGGCACCTGCTAACTCTGTGGGGGGGCTGTCCTGTGCACGGAGGGCCCTTGGCAGCACCCCACCTTCTACCGCTTAGATGCCACTGAGTCCCACTGCACTGTGACAACCCACCACGTCTCCAGATCTTCCAAAAGTCCCCTCAGGCTACAATTCCCTTGTTGAGGTCCCACGCTCCCTGACTTGGGGTGCTGGATGTTCTGGGAGTTTCCGTAACAGGAAGGCAGAAGGGGACACCCTTCAGGATCGCAGCCCGTCCAACTGGGACTGTTTTTTTTTGTTTGTTTGTTTGTTTTGTTTTGTTTTGTTTTGGAGCATTCACCACCATTCCTTGGTATTCTGTTGGCAATACCAAAGTCCACGTGCAGACAGGCCAACTGGCCAACTTGCAAGTTCCCAGAAGGGGGTTAAGGAAGGCACATGCCATTTTGGATAATTGGACCAAAACAAGTGTTGATTTCAATTGCACTGAATTCACGAATGTTTGCAGGTGACTCCCGCCTAATTTTCTCTTCTCCCCCAAAGGTTCAGAAACATTGAAGAGTGAGATGGTTTGGGGGCTGGGGCGCAAGACCACCCCAGGGGGAATTTTGAAAACCCTCAGTCCACAGAGGGCCAGATTCGGGGTGCAGAAGTGACCCAACCTCCTTAGTGACCAGATGTTTGCCATCGTCAGAAAGACAGCTCTGTCTGTCACCACCTCTCTGTTCTCCGGCATTCAGTCTCCAGGAGAATTTCCATAACCACATGTGACATGTAGGATGCTTGAAGGCACCGACCAGACAGCACAAATTACACTCATTTTTCAATACTCTTCAAGGTGGCTAACGCAGGCGCGGGCTGCATGCGGGGTGGTTCTGGGGGCGTCAAGACCAGCATGCTCGCAGCAGGAGGGGTGGGCGCGGGGCGGCACCCCACGGGGGCCACCCCCACTTACCCGCCGTAGGCTGGGATCGGGGGTGGGGGCGCTGCGGCCCGGAAGGTGTTGTACACGGCACGGCCACGGCCGCGCAGGTGCGCCCCTCGGTAGGCGGCCGCGGCGGTGGCTGCTGGATACGGGAAGCCGGGCACTGCGGGCGAGAGGAGAGAGAGCAAAGGTGTCAGACAAACGCTGGCCCCGGAGGGCGCCCGTCCCCAGGGACCCTGCTCCTGCAGACCAAGACTGGACACTTGGCCTTTCCAGGCACACACATACACACAGGTGCATCGCATGTGGGCTGCATTCACATGCACGCCTGGACACATGCATGCACCTATCTGTGCACAGGCATGCATGTGTTCACACATGTATACAGGAGGCGCATACTTAATGTGCATTCACCTGGATGTGATTGTTTAGACATACACACATTCCGGTGTGTCAGTGGTTATCTCTGGGGCTAGACTGCAAAAGTGTGATTGTCCATTCATAGCTTTCTCATCTCACGCTTATTTATTTCCACCTTTTTCCCCCTCGTGCGCATATATTGCTTGTTCAGAGTTTCTAATTGAAGAGCAGTGGTCCCGGGTCAAGTGTCCTGGTGCTGGAGAAATAACCCTTCACCAAGCTCCCTCTGCCCCCAACCATCCGTAAGGCTTTAAAAAACACTATAATGGGGCTTCCCTCGTGGTGCAAGGGGTTGAGCACAGCACTGTGAAGCAATCTGCAGCCACTGCAGCACGAGTTCGATCCCCGGTCAAGGAGCAACCCACATGGTGAGCGGACCTTTCCTGTCTCGCCCGCTGCTCCCCTCAGCAGTGTACCTTGGTAGATCTGCCTGCTCTACTCCCCACTCTGTCTCTGGTGACTCACCCTCCCACACATCTGGCCTGTACCCCAGCTCTTGTATGCATAAATAAATAAATCTTTTTAAAAAATGAAATAAAAAACACTATTATGGCTGTGCAGCCTGGACACTCCTAGCACGGAGAGAAGAGTGTGGTGGGATATTCTTCACTGGGGGGAGGTCCCTCCGCAGAGTGACTGTCAGTGTCATGAGGGAGATGAAGTCTGAGGCTGAACCCCCTGATAAGGAGTTTTGGGTACCCTTCCTCCTACCCACGCAGATGCTGAGCCAGGGAGTCTCCAGGAGTCGCCCCTGCAGGCACCAGCCACCTCTGAAACCCACATCTCTGGGGACACCACCAGCTTGTTCTCTCCCCTGTGCCCCAGGCAGCATCACCCAATCGTGCCCAGGAGGGGGTGCTTTGCTGGGGATACACCCAGAAACCACTGTTGTCCAAGGCATGGATGTTCCAGGCTCAGGAGGCCCAGGGGGCCGGCGGTGCTCCAGAGCAGCTGGCCAGCTCACCAGGCTGCCTTCCCCCAGGAGCTCCATGCTGTGAATGTCCTGCCTCCCTTCCCTCCACCCCCATGCCTCCCCAAGTCAGCAGAGGCCCCCGATTTCATCCCCAGGTCATAGTCAGTGGACATGGGAGTGGATGGTTTCAATGTATGCGCAGGAGGCGAACGAGGTCAGGCAGCGGAGGACAGATACTTAACCCAGCAAACCTCTCCTTGCCCCGTTTTCTCCTCTCGCCTCCCTGTCTTGAACAGGAGCCTTATGAGCGTCCAGAAAGAGGGGCCTCCCCTCTCCTGCCCTCACCTGGGACTTCCTGCAGCGGAGGGGGCAGGTTTCCTGGCCAGCTCGGAGACTTAAAGCCTCTTTAACTGAGCTCAGCAGGACACGCCACCCTCACTTTCCCTGGACTCCCTTTTGGGGACACCTAACCTCTGCAGGTGTTGTTTCTCAGATCGTGTTAGAGTTGTCTCTCCACTCTGTAGCCAAACTGCCAAGAGGGGCTCCCCCTTCCTCCTGGCACCTTGGGGAGCCGAAGCCTCCCTCAGCTCCTCCCCCAGCTCAGTTCTTTCTATCTGCACCAGGTGAGGGCTGTAGAAGGTGATTTTGCTAAAGGCTAGAAAGGACATTGGGAGAGAGGTCCCAGGGGAGTCTGCCTGCTCCCCAGGAGATGGGGCAGTGAGCTCAGAGGCCTGAGAACCACACCCTGCACCCCTGTAGCATATGTTGCAGGGGCAGGGCTGGGAAGGGGTTTCCCACAGGGACCCCGCCCAGTTCCCAGCCCAGACTGGAGTCTGACCCATTGAACTGAAGGCCAGCCTGCCCCTGGGCCCAGGATGCTCCCCCTTCTCGAAGGGCCAGAGGCCAGGTGGCTCCTGGAGTCAACCCCACCTTCCCCTCAGGCCGGGGGTAACTGCTAGGCTTGTAGAACCAGCCCAGAAAGACTTTATCTCTTAGTCCCAGAAGATAGTGATGTTATTTTTAATCTGTGTGTCTGTTCCTAAAGACCAGCCGTGCATGGGAAACACGCTCTCCTGGCCAGCCCCCGACCCCCACGTCACCGGGAAGGGGTTTCAGCTGATGGGGCTGAGATGCAGAGAGGTGTCCGTGTGGATGGGGGGCAAATCCTGACCCCGGCAGGCCTGGAAGCAGGGAGACGGGAGACCTTGGCTCCAGGGCTGGGGGATGCGAGAGCTTTGGCTTGGAGGCCATCTTGCCACGGTTCCAATATTAAGTTTTCATAGGAACACCCTGCCTTTTGAAATAAGGAGAATGAAAAATTCACAATCTGGCCGAGCAGCTGGCTGCCTGTGTGAGCAAACACGGTAATTATACTGCCCCATTCGTTATTGCTTGCTTCAGGGCAGGGCCGGCCAGACAAGATCCCTCTCAGCGACAAGCAGGTTTTACAATAATTCTTGGAGGATTTAGATGTTGAGATAGAGAACATGAAGCAGAAGCCTGGCAGCGGCGCGAGATGAGCACGAGCTGCTCCAAGTGCGGGGCCAGGTCCCCTTTTGCACCCCGTTGTTAGAGGAAGAAGTGTCCCTGGCAAGTCACAGGACAAGGCTCTGGGATCCTCCACGGGGGAGCATTAGAGGGTGTCCCGGTAAAGTCCTGGCTTCCATCTCCTCCCTCCTGAGAGGCACCTATCTGCAGGCTAAATAGGGAGGTTCCATGGCTGACACCTGGGAGCAGAAGCTTCGTGGAGAAGCAGTGAGTCTCCCAGATGTTGGGGTTCTCAGCTGTCTCCTCCCTGCTGCTGCCTTAGAGCTGGCTGAGGGGGCGCTGGATGATGCCCTAGTTGTTCTTCATGACTGAGGAGCATTTCCTGCCTCTCTGCTGCCTTCCTGCTCTCTTTGCTTCCTCCCTCCATTGCTCTGCTCATTGATTTCGAAGGTGGCCTGGCACAAAGCAGGCATCGGCGATCAAAAACAGAGCCTGGACACCCTTCATTTGTCTCCTTTCTGAGAGAGGAGAGGCCCTTCCTCTTTGCTTTCCATAGCACTGTCCTCACTGCCCACTGTCTAAAGTGTCCTGCCCAGGACTGGCAGAGAAACAGGCTACAAACAGCACAGCTGGATCTCATTTGTGACCCCTAGAAAAATAATTACTATGTCCATACTCACAGGAGCCACAGAGCCATCAGCGGCAGGACTTGGGACATGTGTGGGTCTGATGAAAAGGGAGAGGACTTGGATAAACCACTGCACTTGGAATGCTTTCGAGCCCTCCGTTCACTTAAATTCGCTTTTATTGCTGCCGAGTGACAGGATTTGAAGATCCGTTTCTTGTTCTGGAGTAAAGCAGGGCTCACACTGTCCCCCAGACAGGTGACAGCTATGAAAAGCCACTGAGCCATGTCACTCCGTTCATGTCGCGCAGACAGCACTCTCGCAACCCTGACAGCACCACTTCTGAACGCAGTACATGCATGCAACAAGGAACAAGGGAAAATATCATCTACGATCTTTATAATCCCTAACTTGTCTGCTCTGTAGCTATGTAGCTGTGCCTCCTGCCCCCCCACCCCCCATTAGAGGACCTCCTGGCCCCCATGGCTGGGTTAGGGCAGCTTGGCTCCCTTCTGCCACTCAGACAAATGGTCAATTTCAAATGCAAAAGAGCCTGTTTGTCAGGCTGCCTTTAGATTAAAGGTGGGAGGCCCTGGTTTTTTTCCCCTGCCTACCAGGCTGGCTTGCAGATACCATGACATGGTTAAATGCGTCCATAAAGCAATTACCCAGATAGATGACTCAGATACAGATGAAACAAAACCAGAAAGGCTTATCCTTGAACCATGCAGAGAGCAGACATCTCAATTCCGTGCTCACTTCGTGCCACTGACTCTTATCTTTTGTTGACTTCAGTTACCATGTCATCTATCAAGGCCCCAGTTCAGGAGTTTGGATGCAGTTAGCAGGCGATGAATGGCAATAAACCCCATGCAAGGCGCCAGTGGAAATGCACAGAGTCCTCCCCATTCTTGGAATGGAGTAATCGACGTCAAGACGTTAATGAAAGTCATAAACCTGTCACCCCGCCCAATATTTGTAAATGCCTCTTTGTTAATTAAAGAACAGTGTTAGAGAGGAAAGACTCCAAGGCACAGGCATTCGTGAGCCCCAACTTAGGAGCTGGATATTTTTTTTTTAGCTGAACTCCAAGCTAGTAAATACGTAAACAGACCATCACCAGGGGCCCACGGACAGCGTGCAGGTGGTGGCATGGATGCAGGACAAAGCCTCAGTGCCAGGCGTGAGGGAGGTGAGGGAGGCAAAAATCCAAAGGGAGGTTCATTATCCTGGAAAGGCTCCCTTTAAAACCTTATCCAGCATGAATCAAAGTGAAAAATCTGGTATCACTGCAACGAAAATTGGATTTAGCTCATAAGCTAAAAATGAGTTTCTCTCAAAGAAAACAGGGCAGAGCGCTGGAGCAAATGCTCAGGAGCGTCTGGTTGACGGCCGCCATTCCCAGCCCACTGCTCCCACCTTCACCGAGATTTATACCCAGAGCATACCAGGGGCCGGGGGGCATGGAGGGACCTTCTAGGTTGTTGGAAATAAAACCCTCCACACTTCGGAGCACAGTGAAGGGGGAAGAACCTCGGGGATGCAGCCCCAGACAGCCTGGGATGGGCTCAGGGGATCAAGTGTCCATCACTAGTATGTGAGCAGGACACACACCAGCCAGCCAAAGGGGCTACCAGCCACCAGCTGCCTCTCCCCTGAGGCTGAGCCCCGCCCGACCTTCAGGGGACCCCCACATTCAGTGTATTTACAGCAAGG